TGCCACCTGGAGCTGGTACTCAGCATGTCTTTCCTTGGTAATTTTTTGGTCCTTTTTCTAAGAAGACACATCCTTCCTGAGCTAACATTTGGCTCTCTGACAATCCTCTACGATTATGCTTTTACCATTTGTCATTTACAAGGCTGACAACTCCTGGCGTATTTTATCAATTTCCCTTTTCATCCCTTATAAAAATGATATCACTTTGGATTTGAAGAGATCCTAAATGGATAATTTCTTTAAGTAAAATGCTGGTACAAATAGTAGAAAGTAAAGAATCTAAAGAGGGAGAAAAGGACTGTGGTAAATAGAGTAGCAGATTCACAATTTCTGAAAGAATAAATAAAACAGCAAATGGGAAAAATGTTATGAAAGATGGCATTTTCCGACTGAAGCTTGCCCTGTGTTTGTATTGTTTATTCCTTTTAGATGTAGTTAATCAAAGTTACTAAGCAGTTGAGGCCAATCCCTTTTCACAGCTAATAAGAAGACTTAACTTGGATAAATAAAACATGGCCATCCATTCTGCCACACTTAAACAAATTCTCAGTGCATTTGAACTTCAAGGTTGATGATTCTTCACTTTAGTATCTTATACAATCACCCCTTTGGAAATAAGCACCACTAGAAATTCACATGGCTATTTACCAGAATATATTAATTTTCAATGACAACAACTGCCATTCTCCTATGTTCAAGACCAATAGAAATACAAACATAATCTAAGTCTGTAAGAATCCTTATGTTTTTGCTATTTCATATAAGCATGGGTTTAAAACTTTTGAATATTTAAGGATCACTTGGGGAGATAAGGAAAATGCAGGTTTCTGTAGGTCAGAGGTGGGGCCCAGAAATCTGTATTTTTAACAAGACCTCCTCCAAATTATTGTTCTTCACTTCACCCCAAGAACACATTAAGAAACAATGGCTTCCAAAATAACAATTTCCAAAGAGAGTGCATTTTTTCCCAAGAGAATTTTGGATGAGCCCTCAGGTGGCTTTCACATCCAAGGACTTACAGCAACCAAACTGATGACATCAGCAAATGCCAGTACTCTTCTCTGTCTGCTGGCTGATAGCACAGAGGTGCAGAAATTACACAGGGCAGCAAAGAAAGCTCAAGCTATGACTGGAGTCAATGAGCTAGTCACACTAGCTTCCCAATTAGCGGGTTCCAAGAACCTCAAATCCAGATTAATAAGGCCTTACATAAAACTAGAACACCCAGACTCAGCCCTCCACAGAGGGCTCCCAATTCCGCTCTATTTTTTTTCTTTTTAAAGAAAAAGCATTATATTTTTTCACACCCAAGTTTTGGAGACCTGCTTTGGTTTCTGAAGGGCTTTGGCAAAACATGTAGAGATCTAGAAAGCAAAACCTCTCTCGCACTTTCATACAATATTTGACTGACTTATGGATGCCATGTTAATCTACAGGCTATTTAGGCCCCCTCTCCCCTTTTTGTTTTGATAAATTTGTTTTAGTAAATCCACAGCCTTGCCTTAATTTCTCTTCTTATACTTCAGGTATAAGGCAGCTTCTCCCTTAAGATGGAAAAGAAGGTACTGAAGCATCGAGAAATTAGTTTTCTGACAAAAGGAGAGCAAGAGAAAAGGAGCAGAGACTTAGCTTATAAAATGGAAACACATCTGGCAGGGCTAAATACTGGCTTGAAAAGATTCTTCCCTCAGCCTCCACCTACTCCTACTTTTCTTGAAAAGCTTCTTTTTTCTATTCTCCTCATGATAACTTGCCAACAGCAGTTTGAAAACTGTTTAGGTTGATTCTTAGCAGAAAATTGAGGGGCTCTTCCTGTTATTGCTACTGTCCTCCAAACAGTTAAAATTGGTTGGTTTACTCCAACTCTTTCTCCTCAACATTAAAAAAAAATTGCCAAGAACTTCTAGAAGTTGTTTTGACTAACATCAACTACCTTAATAAATAGGGGAGGGCAGTAATCGTGTATTAGGCAGTATCTCCTTCCTTTTTACCAGAATTACATAGAAATTGAGAGCTCTAGGGTTACAGTAGAGGATAAAATCTTGAAAGAAGGAAACAGAGACAGTCTAACATTTCTACTGACCATTTAGATTGGTAGCTTAGACCATTTTCACGTCAGTGTTTTGAAATGTTGCATTTCTAGCCAGCAACACATATTGTAATTTCCCTATAATTTTAAGGGCATTGAACCCCAAATTGATAGAAATATAAAATAAGGTACATCTGCTGGACTGTGGTGCTAAATTAGAAAAGACTGTACATTTTAATTTATTAGATAGAGTCAAATAATCCCATTAAAAGGTTATGCCCATATACGGATCAGTAGCTTACGAAAGTTCCTTTTCATTTACCCTTGTCATGACAGTAGTATGACGGATTTTTAAAAATTACAAATTCGATAATTTAAAAAAGTGTTTTGATTCGTACTATTTACTCATGAGAAGTTGTGTTATCTTTTCACCTGTGACTACTCCCAATTATGTATTTTTGTCTGTGAATTGGAGCTGTTGTATTTTATGAATTAATCTAACACATGAATTCATTTGGGTTTTGGCCTCAAACATTTTTTGTGGCATATAGTTTTTATCATGTAGATTTAGAAGTTAATAGTATAGGTAAATTTAATTGGCTTGTTGGGGTGCCAAAACAGATCTTCACTTATTTATTAACTTTTTGCAAATTGAATATTCTCTAAATTGGTAATTCTCAGTTTAGCATGCATCAGAGTCACCCAGAAAACTTGTTAAAACACAGATGGCTGATCTCCCACCCCAGTGTTGCTGAGTCATGAGGTCAGGGGTAGGACCAGAGAATGTGCATTTCTAACAAGTTCCCTGGGGATGCTGATGCTGCTAGGCCAAGGGCCACACTTTTAGAACCATTGCTCCAACTGAAAAAGTCTTTGAAGGCAGGTATTTTTTTTTTTTTTTTTAAAGATTTTATTTTTTCCTTTTTCTCCCCAAAGCCCCCCGGTACATAGTTGTGTATTCTTCGTTGTGGGTTCTTCTAGTTGTGGCATGTGGGACGCCGCCTCAGCGTGGTCTGACGAGCAGTGCCATGTCCGCGCCCAGGATTCGAACCAACGAAACACTGGGCCGCCTGCAGCGGAGTGCTCGAACTTAACCACTCGGCCACGGGGCCAGCTCCTGAAGGCAGGTATTTTTAATTACTTATAAATACCTAGTACTTTGTTTTGAGAGACACACATGCACATGAGATTAGAGTCATACTTCCAAGAGTTTAAAATTAGTATGTGGCAATCAGCTGACATGTATACATCAAAGCAACAGTAGACACATGTAATACATAAACTATATGATGAGAGGACAGATGCTTGTGTTAAACAAAGATTTAAAGGGGCAGGTGACATGAGAGTTGGGGTTTTGAAAGCTCACTAGGATTTCAATAGGCAAGATCAGGCGTGGGCTTGTAGGCACAGAACAGATGGAACAGCATAAGTAACTATATCCAGGGCTGTGGACATAAGATCAGTTTCCCCGGAAATTTAAGCTCATGAAGGAGAATAAAGGGAGTAAATCTGCTTTGACTGTCCAGGGTTATTTTGAAAATCAAACAAGACTTTTTAAAAAAAGGAAAAAGAGTAAAGTCATCAAAAAAGAAGACAACAGAGTAATAATATAAACTTAGAAAAGACATTCATAAAATCTTTCATTAAATTCTTTATCTTTCCTCTTCTAGTCCCTTTTTTAAATAGCTTGGAGTGGCAACACATGAACTGCGCCTCACCATGATGAAATGATTCCCTGCCCTGGCTTGGGAGATGATGACCGAATGATGTGTCTGATTGGAAGAGCTTTAGCCACTAACCGTCACAGGGCCAAACTCTCTACGTCGGATCCCTTACAAATGGTCAAGGCCTGGCTGAGGATTGCTACTTTATGCTTTCAGAGAAATGTTTGTCTATCCTGCACAGAACAATCTAACGTCAATAATCACATAGAAAAAGGCATGTCTGTTGTCATGTTCCATGTGTTGGCATAAGATTTCCAAGCAGATATAGAATACAAAGGTAAGATAGAAATCCAGCAAGATGTACAATGTGGCTGATATTCATGCCCTCTATAAGGATCCTAACACTGACTTAGTATCAAGGGTCTTGAGTCTTTGAGCTTGGGAAGCATCTCATTACTGAGTCACAAACGCTAAAAGAGGGACATTTCTTGCAACCATAACATTTTCAAAGAAAAGTTGCCGAAGTTGAATAAATAGCTTCCAAAGCCCCGTTCTGTTTAACTTGGCATCAGCAGCGAGGCAGAACAAATACCACTGGATACAGAGACATCAGAAGAGATTTGGTCTTTAGTCCTATTAATCAGATGTATGACCTTGGGCGTATCACAGTTTCTCTGAGCCTATGAAATGACTTGGCTGAACCAGCTGAAAACCAAGGTTCCCCCGTTTTCTAATAATCTTTAGTGAGTGCTGGTGGAAGGAAAGAACTGCTGTTGGATGATGTTACCTAATGCCAAGAGACAAGGCAACACCCCTCAGCTTAATGACTGCAGCCTCGCTCAACTCTGTTTATCCAGTCTCCCCAAGCAGATTCTAGGTTACTTGAGTAGGAAAGATTGTGCCCTATACCTGCGATATATCTGCTGATAAGCACAGAATCTGGAAGATGGTAGGTGTTTAATAAGTATTTATTAAAGTTATTACATCCCCAATTAATTTTTAGATCTCCTTGCTATTTATAATGGCAAATGAAATATATACATAGTTTTTTTAATTGTGGTAAAATTTAACATAAATCTTACTATTTTATCCATTTTTAAGTCTAGAGTTCAGTGGTAGTAAGTACATTCACAGTGCTATGCAATCATTACCACCAACCATCTCCAGAACTTTTTCATCTTCTCAAACTGAAACTCTGTACCCATTAAACACAAACTCCCCATTCCATCCCCCCCAGGCCCTAGTGACCACCATTCTACTTCCAGTCCCTGAATTTATTCTCTAGGTACCTCATATAAGCGGAATAAAAAAATATGAAACACTTCACAAATCTGCATGTCATACTTGGTCAAGGGCTATGTTAATCTCTGTATTATTCCAATTTGAGTATATGAGTTGCCAAAGTGAACACCTTATACACACTTTTAAAACTCTCCACGACTCCCTTACAAATTATTAGAGTGATGGCTGAGAACTAAGGCATTTATGTAATGATATCTCAGAGGCAATGATAAAGTTAGTTTTTTATTTGACAAAAGCTGTTTGATATGAGAAAACTCTAACAATTTAAGAATTATAACTACTATTAAAGTTTTATATAAAAATTTTAGAGAACAGCTTATTGGTATCATTGGAAACTTATAAATGGCAAGAAGCACGTGTTATCTGTCATAGCTATGAGATGAATAAAAATTTTAATGAAGAAAAAATTTTAATTTTAAGAAAAAATTTTAATATAATAAAGAGAGGTCATATTATGAACATTATTAAGTTTACAATGCAGCTAGATACATGATACTTTTCTTATAGTGTATGTCGTATCAAAAAGGGCATGTTTGGCATCTTTGCTTTCTATCAGATATATTAACTATCATTTGAGAGTAAACCCACTTTAATTTTTCAAGGTTCAATAATCATCAACAAAATGAAGGCAGATTTTTGAAAAAGAATAACTAATTTAGAATTTCAAATAGCAATCTCTCTCAACTCCCTCCCAAATGTGAAATTTGGTTTGCTTCTAGAGTTTTCTAAATAAAAAACAGTATGAAATGCTAATTAAGTATAATCACATTAATATGATAGGTTCCCTTTGGCACTCCTAGCTTCTGCTGCTCACACCCCAGGAGGTTCCTTCATATCTTGGCAAAGCTTCAGAAGCAACTTGCTATAGCCTAAGAATTTCACTGTTACAGCCTGTGAAAGAGGAGAAATAAATGGTTTGGCAAGGCCAGGCTGGCTCAGGCTATTGCTTCTGAGAGGCAAGAAACCTACGGCTGCCCCGTCTTCCTTCTTGAAGATGGGATGTCTCTGGTCTCTACTGGCCTTAAGAGCAGCTTTTCCAAGTTGGATGTTATAGAGGGAGCTGAACATAGATCTTCTGTCTGCTCTGAGGGGATGGGCAGACTCATCTAAATGCCACTCCAACCAAAAGCTCAGACACAGAGACACGCACAAGACAATACAAGTAGCCAACCACTGCTGTTTCAAAGAAATAATAAGATTTAATTCATGCTTTCACAAGCACATGTAACTAAGTAACAATTATAAAAAAGTAAACACATTAAATAGGCTATTTTAAAGCCACTGTCTCCAGTCAATGGATTTGTCAACAGTATTTGAAATTAAGTGACATCCTGGCGTTGGCCCTTTGAACACCTCTTTCTCGCTCCAAGTCCAAAGCTCTTTTTGAAGAGTGTTTTGATTCATACCAAGTCAACATTTGTTTGGACACCTGCCTCATAATTTGGAATAAGTTAGCAGACTGATCTATTTTTGATGAGATAGTCTACCTCACTTTCTATAATTTACTTTCTAAAGCAGCCCACAGTGTAGATGACAGGAGAACCATTAACAAAGAGTAATGAAGCTTACTCAGGGAATACAGTGCAAAATTTGTTTCAGAGTTGAACAGCAAGAGGCAAATTAACATTCCTTCCAAACTCTGTCTCACACGCAAACACATTCATCTCATTCCCACTTAGACTTTGTGGAGATGTATTTCAAAATTAACCTCAATTTGAATGCATCTCTATATTCAGGGTGGCAAATATACTATGATTTTTTTCCTCCTCTTTTTAAATATGAACTTTGAAGGCAGCTGCTTGTGAAAAACAAAATAACCAGCTCTTGTTCCAGTCTAAAATCATTGGTTGTTCCCAAGATTCTACCAAAAAAATCAGGACACATCTGCTGTAGGGTTCCATGCCAGGAAGCAGTCTAGCAGCCACCCTGTGGTCTGACTTCACTCCCCAGTCATTTTCGTTAGGATTTCTTTTTGGGCTTTGATTCAAATCACAGGGCCATACATAAGTGGTGAGTTAAGAAAAAAATTTAGAACCACAATGGATCATCATAGGCATCAGCAGAGCCTGGTGTGGGAGGCCTTGCCTCAGGCTTCACCCTCTTGGTGGAGGTGCTCCCCCCCGACACACAAGAGAACAGCAAGAAAACAGACAAAAACCACTGATGTGTCAAAGTCATCACGAATAAAGGAAAAGCTCACAAAGAAATTTGCTTGAATCCCACCAAAATTTGGAGTAAAAGGTGACAGTGTGCTAAATCCATTTTCCTGCTCCTTCTAAACATTCATCCTCCTGAATAGGGTCAAAGTGGAATCATTTCAGGGTGGACATCTCCTCAAGTGGTTATAGTGCTTTTAAAGCTTCATTTAAGAAATTACAATAGTAATACTCCCTAAATTGATTTATAGACCCAATGCAATCCCTATTAAAATTCCAAGTACTTTTTTTGTGGAAATGAGGGAAAAAAGACCCTAAAATTCATAAGGAAAAGCAAAGGAGCCCAAACCGTCAAAACAGTCTTGCCAAAGAACAAGGTGACGGACTCACACTTTCTGATTCCAAAACTTACTACAAAACTACAGTAATTAAAACACAGTGTGGGGGCCAGCCTTATGGCATACTGGTTGTGTTCGTGGGTTCAGATCCTAAGTGCGGACCTACACACTGCTCCTCAAGCCATGCTGTGGTGGTGTCCCATATACAAAGTAGAGGAAGACTGGCATGGATGTTGGCTGAGTGACAATCTTCCTCAAGCAAAAAGAGGAGGATTGGCGAAAGATGTTAGCTCAGGGCCAATCTTCCTTACCAAAAAACACATGGTGGGGGCCAGCCCTGTGGCCTAATGGTTAAGTTCAGTGTGCTCTGCTTTGGCAGCCCGGGTTCAGTTCCTGGGCGTGGACCTATACCACTCACCGGCAGCCACGCTGTGGTGGCGACACACATACAAAATAGAGGGAGATTGGCACAGATGTTAGCTGAAGGACCATCTTCTGCAAACAAAAAGAGGAAGATTGGCAACAGATGTTAGCTCAGGGCTAATCTTCCTCAGCAAAAAACAAAACAAAAACAACAACAGCAAAAAACCACAGTGAGGTCCTGTAATAAACACAGACATATACAAAGGAATAGAACTGAGAGTCAAGAAATAAACCCATATGATTTTTGACAAGGGTGCCAAGAACACTCCAGGCAGAAAGAACAGTCTTTTTCCACAAATGGTGCTGGGACACTGGATATCCAAATGCCAAAGAAGGAAGTTGGACCCTAACCTCATAACACATATAAAAATTAATTCGAAATGAATCAAATATCTAACTGTAAAAGCTAAACTATAAAACTCTTAGAAAGAAACATAGGTATAAACCCTTTGACCTTGAATTGGGCAATGGTTCTTAGATATAATACTAAAGGCACAAGCAAAAACAACAAAAAATTGACAAATTGGACATCATCAAAGTTTAAAAATTTTGCATGTTCAAAGGATATCAAGAAAATGAAAAGACCTACAGAAAGAAAGAAAATATTTGCAAATCATATATTTGATGAGTCTAGTATCTAGAATATATAAAGAACCCTTACAATTCAATAATAAAAAGGCATACAACCTAATTAAAAAAATGGGCAAAGGACTTCAACAGACACCACATATTTATTTAGACTGAAAAAATAATCCACAGTGAGCCACTGCAATGGCATGAAGTGAACAACGTGGCTGATACTTACGTCATCTAATGACTGAAGGTGTCCACTTGGATCACAAAAAATAAAATCAATATACTGCACTAAATTATACATATTAATGTCAACAATTTGTCTGCCAGAATGGTAGAGATTATACTTTATTTTGTTTTAAATGAAACCTTTTTGACCTTCATTCTTCCCAGAAAGCATATTCTTTTTAATATTGCTAAAGGATTGACTTTTCCTTTAAAATTTTGGATTAAAACACAGAAAAGAAAATATCTATATTTGATGTCATTTTCCCAAATAATTTATATGTCAATAATTTACATGTCAAGTTACATACGTCAACTTTTAAAGGACCTTATCACTGACTTCCACAGATCACCTAGAGGACGCAGACACTATATTTATAGATTCAGTCAACTCTTAAGAAAGAAAAAGACAGCTTATATGTTTTTTGGATATGATATGTAAAGAGCCAAATGTTTACCAAGCACTAAACTAAGCACACTATGGTTGAGTTAAACGCTTACAGGCTGTAACCTCCTGAGACTGTTTACAGACCGGTTGGGTCTGAGGTATGATCCGCACTGGTGTTGCCACATCTCTGTCTTCCTGTTTAGAGACATATCAACGTGGAAATCAATTTGTCAGAAAACTGAGGTGTTACTGTCATACGATACTTCCCATTTTAAAGATTAAGATGTTTATAAACAGGTTCACTTAATGTATTTTCATGCTCTCATCATAAAATGAGTGGCTCTATTTGGAAGAGTAACTGTCTTGCTAAGAGGAGGACAAAGATATACATTTAGTGGTAGGGAAACAAACAGAGATCATACCTGACATTCAGGGAACAATACTGGCGAAAGTACAAGTAAAGAGCTCTGAGACTATTGTAAAACCAAAGGAGGAACACATCTTTAGCAATTTATCATACAAATCAATGTTCTTGTTTTCAAATACTTAAATCAGCCATAAAATATAAAATCAATATACCTTTAAAAGTCATGTCTTATGAAAAACAGAGAAGAGTTGAATACATGAAGAACTCTCTCACTTTATTTACTTTTATGACTTTTTTTGTTTCTCCTTGATGCCTTTCCTTGACTAACAAAGATACTTAAAATTCTCAGTAGTAATGAATGTCCCATTTTGTTAGTCTGGCAAGTGCTGTAAATATTCTATTTTAAACACACTACTTTGGATGCTTTAAATCCAAAAACCAATAGGTTTATTAGGGACAGAGAATGGAAACACTGTCTTTGAAATAAGCATGATGTACTTTTTCCCAAAGAGCAGAAAGTTTTATCAAGAGGCCATAGTCAAATTGTAGTAAAAAACGATAAACATTCTTTCCCCAGCATAAGTTTCTTGATCTCCAGCCACGTATTTCAACCCTACTCCTTTCACTGTGGATTTGTTC